CATAAACACCTAGAAACCCCATGGGATGGTGTTGTGGGGTGCTTCACCAGAGATCACTCAGATAAAGTTTTGCCAAATGAAAGTCATTACTGGCCAGGACTACTACACAAGGTGTTGGAACCGATGTGTGTAGCCCTGAGCAATCTCTAAGGTAAGTTTTTATACAGAGAAACCATAACCAGGGTGAAAAGCTTAAGTTCCCAAGATTACAGGTTAAGGAGAGCCCCCTTAACATTTCTATTCTATTAAGTAACAATTGCTATTTTGCAGAATCAAGTCAAACCTACAGAAGCCATAAATCTGCAGTTAGCAGCTGTACTCTGAGACACACTGACCTGTTCCCAAGACAACTGGGGCCCTGCTGATGTGCATTCCCATACCTTGGCCCAACTGCCTGATAATTTCAGTAACCTTTAACATGGCAAATCAGTGGTCAAGAAGGTACTCTATTGCAATAGTTTTTGAGAAGTCTTTGTCAGAACACCCTTAACATATCTCACTATGCTTTATTGCATATCCCAGTCAGGTAGCCATCTCCCTTGACCCTATTGGGCTTGTAAGACTATTTTCTCCTATTAGAGACCTGAGCTCATTGTGGATTCCAAAAATTTGATGAGTGGAGGCATCAATGATATCTAGGTTACGAGAAAGTCCACCACGGGAGGGAAAACAATATCTTACCTTTATATGAATGATTAAAAATTTTCAAAAAAGGGCTTCTTTGGAGACTATGGGGTTAAGATGACCCTCTGCCAAACAGAATGGTCTACCTTTGGTATAGAATGAGCCCTGGAAGGAACCTTAGAGCTTCCTAGCCTCAGGACTCTATGCTGGGTGGTAGCAGGACCCCTGGGCACCCAAACCAAAACCCATGCATAGACTCATGGTGGCAAGCGGCTACCCTATTAGCTTCCCCCTTGGGCCAATGCAATCAATTCATCTGTGTCTTTTTATTGAGGAATTGAGATCTTTAATAATGAGATTTATTATTGACCAAGTGTATTAATTCTGGTTCTGTTGAAGTTATAGTGCTGTTTTCTTAGGTGTTGTGGTGGTTTGAATGACCCCCATAGATTTGAAGTATTTGCACATTTGTTTCCCAGTTCAAGATGCTGTTTAGGGAGGGTCATGGAAATTTTAGAAGGTGTGGCCATGATGGAGAAAGCACATCATTGGGGTTAGGCTTTCTTTCAGTGTTCTTAAGCTTTGCCAAATTTCAGTTTTGCTCTGCTTCCTGGGCCTGTTTGAAGATGTGAGCATTCAGTTTTCTGCTCCAGCCACCTTTATTGCCATGCCTCCTGCCATGATGTACTTTAATCTCTCTTCAACTGTAAGAAAAATGTATTTTTCCTTCTATAAATAACCTACATCATGGTGTTTATTATAGCAACAGGAGAGTAACAGATACTGAAGTTAATATCAGAGAGTGGGCTCTGAAAAACTTTACCACGCAGGTGTTTGAGAGGAATGTCGAAGACATTGAGAGTTTGAACTAGAAAAGCTGTGGAATGCTGTACACAGAGTCTCTTTAGTAGGAGCCTGGAAGGAAGTAGTATTGAAAGCATCATGTTCCAGAGGAAAGCAAGGACTTAAACAGCAACTTGAATATCTGGGCAAAATATCTGGTTGTCTTCTGCCCACAGCCTATGAGCTTGCCTGAGGATAAACTGAAAACTGATGAACTAATAATTGAAAAATAATGGCAGAGTATATTTCAAGACAGCCTAACATTGAATCAGTTGTGTGGTTATTAATAGTGAATATTATAGAGATCTGCAATGAAAAATGAGAGCAATTGGGGCAAGAAGAAATAAAGAACGCACAGTTTAGAGAATGAGAGCACTGGGGCTATAAATAATGTTAGAATCAAGGCATGTGCTGCAAGAAAGATCTCTTTGACAGAAGATTAGAGAGATTAAGTTTTAAGTCTTTAGTTTTGCATTTGAATCATGGAAAAATATCCTCAGGGCAAGACCCCACCCAGCTAAGCTTCCTCCTGAAAGAAAAAAACATCTGGAGTTTTCTGCTAGAAAATGGAACCCACAAAAGCTGCTGGTAATGTGGATAGAGTAAGGCAGGGTCCATCCAAAACTGGCAACCAAACTTGACAGTGTACACATGGTACTGGGTTTAGAGGCATGAAGGATTTAAGAGTGAGGGGCCATCAGTTCTTCATGGGTGGTTTCAGATAGTAACTGTGGCCAGGCAGTGTGAAGCAGGAAAGTCATTGCGTACGAAGGCCATGGGAAAGTTGCCTGATCCCAACTAGGCATAGGACAAAGGTAATGTGGCCAAAAGACAAACTTGGGGCCAGGGTTCTCATAGTCAAAGGGTGCCAGAAGCTGCAGGACCTGTGAAGCCTGGGTGCTGAGAGAATGGACAGGGAAATCTGGTCTTTGAAAACTCACAGGTGTGAAACAACACAAAATAGAAACAAAAGCACAAGAACATTTATAGTGACAGTAACCAAAACACATCTTTCAATAATAACTTTAGATAACAATGACCTCAACTCCCCCAGTCAAAAGACACAGACTACTTGAATGAATTAAGAAACAAATCCATCTTCTTTTGTGGTCCACAAGAAACTCATTTCATCTTCATGGATAGGAACTACCACAGAGTTCATAGAGTAAAAGAATGGGGAAAAAATTCTAAGCAAATGGCAGTTAGAAACAAGCAGGTATTTCAATCTAAATATCTGACAAAATAGGCTTCAAATTAAAATTAATCAGAAGAGATAAAGAAGGTTACATCATTCTTATCAAAGGAACAATTGACCAAGAAAACATTACAGTCATGAACATATATGCACCAAACCCTCGTGCCTCAATTTCACAAAAACAGTACTATAAGACTTCAAGACACAGATTAGCCCCAACTCAATAATAATAGATGACTTCAGTACCCCACTATCTCCTATAGACATGTCAACTGAACAAATAATAAAGAGAGAAACATCTGAATTAAATCATATCACATATCAAAAGACCTAATAGTCATTTACTGGAGTCCAGCCAAGCACCAAGGAACATACATTTTACTCAGTAGCCTATAGAAGTTTCTCTTACATAGAGTACATCTAAGACACAAAATAGACCTCAACAAATACAAAAAATTGAAATAATTCCATGCATTCTATTAGACCACATTGCAATAAAGCTTACAATCAACAGCAAAAAGATCTCTAGTAACCACATGAACTCATGGAAATTAAACCATACACCCCTGAATGAATGGTTCAAAGAAGTAGTCAAGAAAAAATTAAAGTATCCCTGGAATGAAATGAAAATTACAAAACAATACAACACAACCACTGGGAAACTAAAAGAAATCTTAAGAGTGCCTGTGAGATGCTTAACCCTACATGACACTTCTTCAGTGCACCCTTTACACATAGAATGAATTCATGTCTTGACTAACACCTAAGAACTTTCATTATGCAGTAGATGGAATAACACAGAAATGCAGAATTGATCACTGTGCAGAGAATAAGAGCATGCAGGGTGCTTATCCATGAATAGGATGCCTATTAAACCTCTGCCTATCAAGACACTGGGATCATTGCATAAGGGGGAGCAAAAAGATTGTAAGAGCCAGAAGGATTAGATGATCACAAGGAATCAAAGTTTTCTAGACAGCTTGCCATGAACTTATAGGCATGTTGAGGACATGCACAAGTCCTTTGCAACCTCAAACCAGACAAAACCCCAGCATAGATATGGGAAAGTGGATAAGAAATCCCAGCACAACCTAAGAAACTTTTGATAATTTATGGCTGCTGGGAGGGGGATAAGCAGATTCTTGTAGGGATGGGACACTTGGTGGACCCAGAAGTTGGACCCATACTGAATAACATTTGGGGAAACAAATCAAACTCTATACGCCACATTAGATATATGAGAGTATATTAAATTAGTCTGTGAGCAGTGGGGGGGTGATAAAGATAGGGGAGTGTACCTAAATATTATACATCTTCTATATGAAAATGACAAATATTTAACAAAAACAAATGGGAATGAAATAAAAATAAAAAAATAAATAATTAAACAGTACATACCTAGCCTTGATTATTTTCAGATAAGGAAATCTTGCAACACACTTAAGTAGAGCATAATAAATGAAACAAGAAGAGGCAGGAGTTCAAATGAAAAAGTTTCTATTTTTTAGTCAATTTAATATTTATTAAGAGATAGTGAGGGAAGATCATTCCTCATATATAGATCATCACAAGACTAGGAATGAAGAACTGGGAACATAATTTCTAGGATTGTAACCACGAGAAGGCAAGGTTTAGATCCTGAAGTAGACATGGTTCTTAGACACTACAGAGTGTCCTCTATGATACACTTTTTATTTGTGCACAGTCTAGAGAACTATTGTTCTAGTATCAGCATTTTTAATTGAGTTTCAGAAGGGCATATTCTTATTCCACTCATATTTTAAAAAATAATAGGATGAAATACATAAACATTTAATGAACAATTTATGATTTAATTCACAACATAGCTAAAATATCTATAGATGATTTGTTCTGACTGAGTATGTGATAGTAGTTTGGAAAATTGTATTAAAAACTGGGAAGAGAGAGATTGAAGTATGATATATAAAATTTAGAGTAAGTAAAGAAGACTAATAAGAGCCAATATAAGGCTATTCAAAATAAAAAACCCTGAGCATATAAATGTCACTGAAAATCAAATAAAAGAAGGAGGAGTGGAAATGAAAAAATACAATATTCATGTATGAAACTCTTAAAAATAAAACAACAAACAATATATACAGAAATTATTATTTAATATATCTAGGTTTGAATATAGTGATAAGTATAAAAATGGTACTATCTATTGATATTTTTGACATGAACTAATAGAGTGCTTATTCTTCACTCTATTTCAGGAACATAAACACCTTTAACAGAATCATGAATGTTTTCCTATATATACTAATTATAAAATATAGGTTTTAAAAACCAGCATTCTTTTTAAGGTTACTGTATTTTAAAAGCGCATTTTGTTAATCAACCAATTTCTGTTAAATAACTTTCTCACTGCCTCTTTGACATCTTTGTTTCTCAAACTGTAGATGAGAGGATTCAGCATGGGAATCACAATGGTGTAAAATGTTGACACTATCATGTCATGCTCCAAGGTATAGTTGGAACTTGGTCTCACATACATGAAGAGGATTGTCCCGTGATAAATTGACACTCCAGTAAGGTGAGAGCCACATGTAGAGAAGACTTTTTTCCTTCCTTCCGCAGATCGCATCTTCAGAATGGCAAAGAGAATGAAACTATAGGAAACTAGGACAATCAAGATGGTAACGATCTCAACACAGCCCACACAGTAGAAGAGAAGAAGCTGGTTGATGTGGGTGTCGGAACAAGAAATAGCAAGCAACGGGGGAATATCACAGAAGACATGCTTAACTTCATTGGATCCACAGAAAGAAAGGCTGAAAGTGGCCACTGTGTGTATCACAGCATGCAGAATTCCACCAGTATATGAAGCCATGATGAGTGGTATGTAGACTCTGGGTGACATGCTCACTAAGTACAAAAGTGGGTTGTAGATGGCCACATAGCGATCGTAAGCCATTGCCGCCAGCAGAAAGCTTTCTGTCGTTCCAAAAGTGACAAAAAGGAACATTTCAGTCACACATCCGGGATATGAGATGGATTTATTCTTTGCAAGGAAATTGACTAACATCTTTGGAGTGACAGCTGTAGAGTAGCAGGCATCTAAGAATGATAAAACACTTAGAAAATAGTACATGGGGTTGTGGAGCCGAGAATCCACAATGACCAGTAAAACTAATCCCAAATTTCCTGTCAGAGTAAAAAGGTAGACGGCAAGAAATAACACAAATAGGAAGACTTGCAGGTCCGCATCATCTGTGAAGCCTGTTAGTATAAACTCAGTGACTGCAGTCACATTGCTCACTTGAATCCTGTATGCATTATTATCTGGTGGATTCCTTGACATGTCTGCTTTTATGTGTAGGTGAGGAAGGCAATGTACCATGTAACAGTGCCCACCCAATCATAACCCCTTACTTGTGTTTCAGAGAATCATAATTTTCTTGGTGAGAGGAGCGGTGATGAAGAAGTTGAGTTCAAAGAGATGCATTACTCTGTTAAAATAAAATTTAAAATTATTTTCATATTTTGGATATAATTGTCATTTTGAAAAATCAGTTGATGTAATCATTATAATTAGCATGTTGTTTTCTGTTGGTCTTTTTTTTTTTCTTCACCTGCATTTATATTACATGTTTTAAAATTCAGGAAGACTAAGAATGTATCCTAAATTCCTTAGCGCATTCATGGAATGATATTCCTCAGTGTCCTGACTGTAAAATTGTGAACAACCACCATTAGATAATAAAATTGTTTGATTATAAGTGACAGGGTAATTAGCATTTGGTAAATATAAGATAAATAGATAAACACAATCTGACATGGATTAGTGTCATTTCAAACTCATTTAGGATACCATTTTAGAACAAAATATTTTAAGTCCTTTCTTTAAACAGTTTTCTCACTCCATTAGTATGTAGGGTACTGTGATGAACAGCAAGTCATCTAGACATAAGTGAAGCTTATTTGAAAATGAAATAACACTTGTAATTCTTGAAATTCCTTTGGTTCTTGAGCTTTGTTTTTTGCTTTTGTTTCTCGAAGCAAACATCAAATACTCATTTTTGGCAGATAGGGTTTTCCTCTTTTAACTGATTATAGTTGAAAATTTTTATCCTAATTATAATATCTGACATCTTAATTCATTTGGCAACAATCTGTAAATATAAAAGTACAACACTGGCCTGGAGTGCTGGTACAGACCTTTAATTTTGTATTTGGGAAGTAAGGCACGTGGAGTTTTGTGAGCTCACAGCCCGGACGGTTTAAAAATGAGTTCCAGGCCAGCCAGGGCTATAACATGAGTGAGATCCTGTTCTTATGGAATTGTTGCGCCACTGTAAGTTAAATATCAGTCAGTAATAGCCAATATAATTTTGTAGAAGCTGTTCCTCAAAGAAAAACTCACATGCACCACAATCAGGTAGCAATAGGAAAGGCTGGTAAGACACCTGCATCAGAAACAAAGCTTCTATAATTGAAGTGCAAATTATAGATTAACTGTAACTCACCAAGGTACCAGCATGGCCCATGATATAACACATTTGCCTCATATACACGTGTCTGTGTTCAGTCTACAAAATACGAAAAGCAAATTTTCACCATGACTTTTGCTTCTTCTTAGCATGTCAGATAGTAAACTGTGTTGAAAGTCAAAACTTGCCAACTGGTTATTGGGCTTGGCTGAATCATTTGTGACCTACAAATGATTTAATAACATGTGGGTTTTTTGACATTGAAACCTCCATATATCAAGAGAAAAACATTTGGAAAAACATTATTCTAGAAGGAAGCCACAATTTTTGTACTGTAACAAAAGTCCTAGATTCATGGGGAGGCATTATCTACTACATAAACTCAACAGTCATAAATGTGGCATTAAACAAAGAAAATATTCAGGATATTCTTAAAGAAACACCAAGTTCTAAAATTTATTTTTAAAAAACAAAAAAATTGACTTTTTGTGTATATAAAGACAACATGCGTTTTCACGAATACACACAAATATAATTATTTCTACTATAGTTTGATATTAATAAAATGAATTACAAACATGAATTAAAACTACATATCCAACACATAAAAGTTTTAATGTATTTATGAAGCATCATAAAAATGTATTTTTGTTTAGAAATAGTCCACATTCCTGTTCTTTCTTTTCTCATACTCTGAATAAAGAATCCAAAAATTACATGTACAAATATTCACTGAAGAGTCTCAGGAACACAATACCAATTAGGTAGATCAAATTAAGCAAAATGAAAGTCTTTAGAAATTCAGGCATTTTTTAAAAGCAGCGCTACATGGTCCACCAGTGGAACTCTTCAAAAAATGTATCTGTGGGCGGGAAAGATGGCCCAGCAGTTAAGAGCACTGACTGCTCTTGCACAGGACCCGGGTTGGATTCCCAGCACCAGCATGGCGGCTACAAAGCATCCTCAACTCCAGTTCCAGAGGAATCCAAAGCCCTCTTCTGACCTCCATGGCATTGCATGCCCCGGGTGCATTTACATACATGCAGGCAGTACACTCGTACACATTATATATATAACTGTGGACTCACATACTCAAGAGCAAGCTCAGCTGCGCTGTGATTCGCACTTTCACAGCCCTGACTATGTGAGATAGATAGCTGTAGAAAATAAGGAGCATTGTATTTGGAATAAAGCCCTGAATTAAGATCCCAGTTTTATCACCTAAGCACTATATGAGCTGAGAAAATTTAGACCTTCTACATGGAAGTGTGAAAAATATGAATAAATATACTCCTTTCTTTTAAAAGGGAGATTTACTTTTACATTGTAAATAAAGAAGCTGCAAGATTCAACCACAATCTGCACTTTCTTTATCTCCAGTTTGCTCTTCCCAGCAGGGGATTATTCTTCAAGGCTAACATTTGCCTAAGATCAAACTGTATTCAAATTTATTCCTCACTCTCAATAGTCATTATTTTTGCTCATCATCTGCACCGGCTTTATTTTTAACCAATGGCTAAAAATATGAACGTAAGAGAAGAAATATTTTCTGTTAAAACCATTTTAAAAACTGTGTGCTTGTCCTTTTAGTAAATTTGTTATAGAGCTAATGCCTATTTTGATGCCTGTTTCTTAACATATCAATTGTAACACGTGGTATTATAGTTCGTTTTTATCATCCACATCCACCACCACCACGACCCCCATTTTTAAGACTCTGGTTGTGTGCCAGGGACCTCGCACTCTACTGTTAGGACAACGGGGTTGTTGATACAAATTTTTAAAGATTCTTACTAAGTTGCCCCTCATGTTTTGAATTAGCTGATCAGGTTTATATCGTGAGGATGAAGCTAGGTGGACGAGACACAGCCTGATTTTCTTTTACTTTAGGTTTAAAAGGGAAAAGCCATTTCATCAAAGTGTGCTTGCTAACTTGTTCAGACACCCTTCTGATCAGAAGTTAACATAGTCTAACCTATAAACTTTCAACTGGAGTGAATCTATTTCAAAAAAAAGGACAAATAATATTAAATAATGATAAGAGGTCAATGATATATCTTGTTCAAATTCATAAGCAAGATATTGTCGTGTTTTAATATGAAATTTATTTAAAATTATTGCACCAGAATTTTAATGCAAAACCTTAACTACATGTAATTATGAATATTAAATTTTGGGAAATCAGAAAATTTTAAAATGAATTTATCATAGTATTGAGCAGTTAATGGGTCTCAGAAAAGAAGTTGATTATTAATATACTTCTACTATTAATATTTGGTATGTGACACTTAGCATATCCTAAAATGCCATTCAAGGAGATTCTACAAAGTAAATTTCAATCTTCCAGGTTTGAATCCATTTTAAAATGTACTGACTGACTTTAGTATACTTGTAGGCATGTCACTAAGGTAATAAGCATGTTGAAATAAATTCCTCCCCTTCTTTTGTAGAGAACAAGTTCCTAATAATTTATGCCACTACTCTTGGTTTTTAATTAAGGAGTGATTTATAAATTTAACAGCATGTTTTTTGTCCAAACTAAATCCCACTAAAGCAGTTGTCTGATTCCCTTAAGCAGCTGATAAGAACACAGATAATAAAATATAAATACATCATTGGGCACTTTAATGAACATGCAATTCAAACATTTCTATAATATTTTAGGAAATTTGGATGGATTATAGTTATACCTGTCTGATTTCAGGAGAAGGATGCTAAAAGTTAAAAATACATACCTAATATTTTAACAAGGCAAAAGTGAAATCAGTTCCTCAGTTCTCCATCAGAACATATCCAGTATTACAATAGTATTAAAAGCAAAAAGGTCAAGATAAAGGAGAGAGAAACAGCAGCTATCTCATCATTAAGATGCTGGTAGGGTTGAAAATTTTTGTCTGTTTTGTCTTCTGCAGCCTAAATGACAATCTGTAAAATAAATGATTCAGTATCTTTTCAGTGATGAGAAAACTGAGACCCAGCTAGTCTATAAATCTGATTAGGTCACAGTTAACAGCAAAGCCAAAATTCATGCCCAGGCTTCCCTGTGACTACACCTGTGCTATTTCCAGTGGTCCTGTTTGGGATTTCATGCAGTGTGTCAATATTCTTTGATCATTGCTTTCTACAATCAATATAAAAATCATGTTTTCACATATTTGAATTCTTTATGAAGAAACTAATCTTAAGTAATCCATAACATTTAAATAAAAAGACTGAACAAGTTTCTCCTTTGATTTCTCAAATGTGGAAATAGATAGAAATTTCATTTAACTCAGCAATATCAAAATCCTCAAATAGCATGAAAACAATTGTTTGAAGACCTTAATCTATATTTCATAGTTTTTCTAAATTTTGGATGTAACATCTTAATTTTACTGCTCCCGTTTTAACTTGTCTCCTGTAAATCGAAGGTAATTCCAAATTAACAACTCTTTTGAATGAAGAAAGCAGGAAATCTTTCCTATATTCTCTGCTGTGCTCCCTGGTAGACACGTTTCAATCGTAATACAACATTGTGCTAAGTACAATACACAATTTACATTTGTGTATTAAGGCATATATGCTTGTTTCAAATTCAAGCCTACAGTTTCTAAGTGATTCATAAATGACAGTTTTTCCTCACCTTTGGAACTGGTTTTCTCAATCACAAAGGTAAGCTCGGAATATTGCGTATTTTCCTTCTTACCTCAGACCCTTGAGCTCTTCTTCAGGTATACAGAATGCTCCAGGGAGAGAGTGCCTTGATTCTCTCTGAGACAGAAAGACCCTAGTGATTTAGTTTTCCCATAGCAAGCAGGTGAATAATTTGTTAATAAATATATCATAAGATGAGTGATTTGGAATGGTCTCTAATTGCAGGAGGCATATTCAT